TCTTACATATATTTTGTTCAGGTTTTTGGGTGCTACTGTAAATAGTACTTCTAATTACAATTTTAATTGTTCATTGAGATTATATGGAAATAAAACTTGAAAATATTGACCATGTATCCTGCAACCCCTTTTTTTTTAAACTTTATTTATTTATTCATTCATGAGAGAGAGTGAGAGAGAGAGAGAAAGGGGGGGGGCAGAGAGGCAGAGACACAGGCAGAGGGAGAAGCAGGCTCCATGCAGGGAGCCTGACTTGGGACTTCATCCCAGGTCTCCAGGATCACACCCTGGACTGAAGGCGGTGCTAAACTGCTGTGCCACCCAGGCTGCCCTCCTGCAACCCTTTTAAACTCATTTCTTAGTTGTAATAATGTTTTGTTTTGTTTTGTTTTGTAATGTTTTTGTAGATTCTTTAGAGCTTCCTGGGATGACTATGACAATGGCAATTAAAAACAGTTTTACAATCTTATTTATTAACCTGTATGCCGTTTATTTTGGTTTCTTCCCTTATTATACTAGCTAGGATCTCCAGTATAGTATTAAATAGAAGTGGCAAGAGAGGACATCCTTGCTTTGTTTTTGATCTTAGAAAGCATTTGTTTTTTTCACTATAAATATTATGTTATTAGCTTGAGAAAATCTATTCCATTCCTAGTTGGCTGAGACACATTATCTTGAGTGTATATTGAATTTTTTTCAGGGGCTTTTTTTTTTGCCTCATTAGAAATGATTATATGCTTTTTCTGGTCATATGTTGAATTGTACTGATTAGTTTCCAGATGTTTCAGTGGCCTTGCATTTGTTGGATAAATCTCTCATTTATGATATATGATCTGTTTAATATATTGCTGGACTTGCTAATATTTTGTTAAGGATTTTTCTGTTTATGGGAGATATTGGTATGTAGTTTCTTTTCTTTTCACGTAATGTCTCTGTCCTTTTTGATATTAGTGTAATGCTAACATCATGAAATGAGTTGACAAGTACTCCCTCTTTTATATTTTTGAGTTGTGTTGAGTTGATATTATTTCTTCTCTTGATGTTTGAGAGAATTCACCAATGAAGGCATCTGGACATGCAGGTTTTGTATGTGTGGGGCACATGCCTGCATGTGTATGTGTATAAAGGTCCTTTAACTATGAATTCAAATTTAAATAACAGAGTCATTCAAGTTATTTATTCCTTATTGAAAGAGCTTAGAGAGCTTGAATCTTACAAGGAATCCATTTCATTTAAATTATATTTGTGTAAAGTTATTCATATTAAACACTATTTTTTAATGTCTGTAGTTCTATAGTCTTTATTTTTGATTGGGTAAGTTGTGTCAACTCTATTTTTTTAATCAATTTAGGCAGAGGTTGGTCAATTTTACTGATCATTTCAAAGAGCCAGCTGTTGATTTCACTGGCTCTTCTTTATTTTCTATTTCTTATTTGTATCATTTCCACTCTTCAGTTTACTTTAGGTGTAATTTGCTCTTCTTTCCATAGGTTCTTAACATGAGAGCTTGTATTGTTGATTTTAGATCTTTCTTCTTTTCTAATTAAAACATTTAAAGCTAGAAATTTCCCTCTAAGTACTGCTATAGCTGTACTTCACAAATTTTGATGTTACATTTTAATTTTTATTCTGAAATTTCAAAATATTTTTAAATTTACTTTGTGATTTCTTCTTTATTTTTATTTATTTTTTTTAGTAATCTCTACCTCCAACGTGTGGGGCTGGAACTCATGACCCTGAGATCAAGAGTTGTATGCTCTACTGACTAAGTCAACCAGGCACCCCTGTGATTTCTTCTTTAAATCATAGTTTGTTAGTTTAAGATTTTATTTATCTGAGAGAGAAAGACAGAGAGAGCACCAGTAGGGGGAAGGGCATTAGGGGAGGGGAAGGGACAAGCAGACTTCCTGCTGAACAGGGAGCCTTGTGTGGGGCTTGATCCCAGGACCCTGAGACCATGACCTGAGCTGAAGTTGGACACTTAACAAACTGAGCCACACAGGTGACCCTAAATCAGTTTATTTAAAAAAATGTTGACTAATTTCTAAATGTTTGGAGATTTTCCAAACATTTCTGTATTGATATTTAATTCTGTTGTGGTCAGAGAACCTACTCTGTAGGATTTCAAAACAGTTAAATAAATAAATATAATTTATTTATTTATTTATTTATTTATTTATTTATTTATTTATTTATTTTATTTGTTTGCTCATTCATTCATTCATTCATTCATTCATAAAAGACAAAGAGAAAGAGAGAGGCAGAGACACAGGCAGAGGGAGAAGCAGGCTCCATGCAGGGAGCCCAATGTGGGACTCGATCCCAGGACTCCAAGATCACTCCCTGGGCTGAAGGCAGGCGCTAAACTGCTGAGCCACCCAGGGATTCCCCAAAACAGTTAAATTTATTGAGGCTTGTTTTATCACCCTAAATATGCCACATCTTGGTTGATATTCTGTGTACATGTAAAAAGAATGTGTATTTTGCTGTTATTGGGTTAAATATTTTATATGTCAGATCAAATTCATTATTAGTGTTTTTCAAGGTTTTTCTATCTTTACTGATTTCGTTTATGTGTTCTCTCAATTAGTGAAAGAGAAATGCTAAAATCTCCATTTATAACTATGGCTTTTGACTTTTTCTCCTTTCAGTTCTATCACTTTTTGCTTTATTATTTCTGTTATTAGGTACATTTAGGATATTATGGTTTTTCATGAATTTTCAATTCTTTATTATAAAGGTATAGAATTTTAGTTTAATTCATTTTTATTTTAGCAGTTTTTTAAAGTCTTGCTGTTGTCTCCTGGCTTGCATGATTTCAGAAGCAAAGTTTGCAATTTTTCATATCTTTGTATGTGTGTTCTTTTCTTTGGCTACTTTTTAAGATTTTTCTCTTTATCAACCTTTTGAACAATTTGATTATGATTATTTTTTTGGTTTTTTCTTGACAGATCATTTCCTTCGCTTGCTAGAATTATTGTTTAGGGTATAAATGGAGTCAACAGATTTCAGATATTTTTGGTTTCCTATCAAGTTCCTACATATTAATATCTACTGCCAAGGAACCACCCTGATTTATGAGAGCTTCCAGTGCCTAACTGCAGGCTCATGAAAGCTTTTGGATAGTACCATTCATTGATTTTACCAACACAAAAAGAATAGTGAGGTTTTATTGCTTAGTATAGTCAGGGCAATTCCCCAGATTCCCTATCAAGTTGAATCCTGTCAGATACAGCACAAATTCTCATTTTGATGTGACTTGAAGTTAAAAATAAGAATTTTGGCATCTTTCTTATGAACTCTAATATACTTTTTAAATCCTAAAACCTATAACTATTCCAGTTAAATGATGATGATAATAATAAAAAGAAGAATTGCAGTAATACTTTATATATTTTACAGCTTACAAATAATTTTACATACATTTTCTCATTTAGCTTTATGATTATTTATACTCAGAAGTTTTTATAGACTTACTCTAATTATCAAACATTGGCTGAAGTAAAAGGTTTTATAGCCAGCCATTTTTGAAAGATTACAAAAAAAAAATCAAACCCTGCTTTTAAGCCCTAATATTTACTGTTGTTTAATTACACAGAAATTATTAGTTTCAAATGATCAAGCATATATAAAAAATGATAAAATAATTAGAATGACCCATCGTGTGTGTGTGTGTGTGTGTGTGTGTGTGTGGTCTTACTCCTCTAAGATTAGAAGTGGAGGGACACCTGAGTGGTTCAGTGGTGAGCCTCTACCTTCAGCCTAGGGCAGAAGCAGGGAGCCTGCTTCTCCCTCTGCCTGTATTTCTGCCTCTCTCTTTGTGTCTCTCATGAATAAATAAATCAAATCTAAAAAAAAGAAAAACCAGATTAGAAGTGGATTTTCTTTCATTTTAGAAGGTTAAACATATGTTTATATTGTATCAAGAATATTTCTTTTTTTTAATTTTTTTTTTTTTATTTATGATAGTCACACACAGATAGAGAGAGAGAGGCAGAGACACAGGCAGAGGGAGAAGCAGGCTCCATGCACCGGGAGCCCGACGTGGGATTTGATCCCGGGTCTCCAGGATCGCGCCCTGGGCCAAGGCAGGCGCCAAACCGCTGCGCCACCCAGGGATCCTGAATATTTCAAGTAAATATTAGTTGTGAAGGGCGGGCATGATTAGCAGGATAAATCATTTCTTACTTCATTAGAAAAGAATAGTTTTTAAATGCCAGTTTAAGGTAAATTGGTATGTGGTACCTATGAAAAAACTATCAATTGAGAGTACTCATTAATAAAAATAGACTTAAAAGTATTTATATAATATTTGTCATGGATATTTGTACTTACCTGCACCCACACCAAAGTATATGGGGCTGACAACTAGAAACAACTTAGAACTAATGAAGCTGGTCAATAAGAACTGTGTTCACATCAAAAACCTGTCTTTAAATGTATACAACAGGGGATCCCTGGGTGGCGCAGCGGTTTAGCGCCTGCCTTTGGCCCAGGGCGTGATCCTGGAGACCCGGGATCGAATCCCATGTCGGGCTCCCGGTGCATGGAGCCTGCTTCTCCCTCTGCCTGTGTCTCTGCCTCTCTCTCTCTCTCTCTCTCTCTCTGTGTGACTATCATAAATAAATAAAAATGAAAAAAAAATAAAATAAATGTATACAACAGAGGCCTAAACAACTGATAGGAAAAATAGAGTTAGCTCTTGTGGTTTACCTAAAAATTCTTCTCATGTTTATTAGTTTTTAGTGTAAGTAGTTTGATTATGTGGAATATAAATTAATGCTCAATGATAGGCGTAAGATAGATGGAGTTGGTAGCTGGAATTCAAAATGAAGATTTAACCACAGAATCACTATTCTTAGCCTCCTGAATCCCACATTTCTAGCACTTAATGTAAGAAATGATTACTGTTTTTTTCCTTTATGGAAATGTTAACTCTGTTTTTATTAGTCTACTTTTTATTTTTAAAAGAATCACTTGGTTTTACTTTTTTGTGACAGGTATTTTCACGCGAGGACAGCTGGGCCTGACAGACATCATATTCCAGTATATTCACTGTGATGAGATCTACGAGGCAATAAACATCCTGAGCAGTATGAACTGGGACACTCTGGGCCACGAGTGCTTTATCAGCATGAGTGCCATTGTAAACCATCTTCTTAGACAAAAACTCACTCCAGAGAGAGAAGGTCAGACATGATATACATTTTGTAAATTGATTTTGTATATACATGAAGTACATTTTATTGAGTCAATTATCTTTTGAGGATTTTTTGAGTTACGTTATTGGAGATTGAAAGATAAAACTGTTAATGCCCTATTAAAACTGATAAGATCAGATGTCAAGTATCTATATGGAAAAAAATTATATGCTGGTTTACTATATAATGTCAACATAAACAGTAACTTTTTTTTATATACCTATGTTGGAACTCACAATGCAGTCATTGTACGTTTCGGTTTAAGTTCATGTGTGGAATATGCTCAAATTTCAAACTTTAATCAAGAATTTTATATACTCTGGGGGCACCTGGGTGGCTCAGTTGGTTAACTATCTGGTTTGATTTCAGCCTAGGTCATGATCTCAGGGTCATGAGATGGAGTCTGGGATTGGGCTTCATTCAGTGCGGAGTCTGCTTGTCCCTCTCCTTCACCCTCCACTCCCTTCCCTTCTCATACATGCACTGCCTCTCTCAAATAAATGAATAAATCTTAAAAAAAAAAAGAATTTTATATATTCTCTAGGGTCTGGTACACAAAGAACCAAACAAAAGTCCTTATTCTTCCTTCACTTTAGACATAGATATTTTTCTCTCCCACCCCAAGTCTTTTGTCCAGAGAATAGTCCTTACCACTGATTGTGTGTGTGTGTGTGTGTGTGTGTGTGTGTGTGTGAGAGAGAGAGAGAGAGAGAGAGAGAAAGAAAGAGAGAAAGAGAATTGTAGTCCAGGCTGCTGCTCCTGTTTTCATTCTAACTGGTAGTTCTGATATCCTTCTGCCTGCTTAGATTTCTCTACATTCCCTCAGTAAGTAATTATACCCATAGGATCTAAGATAAGACACTGTTTTGTCTTTTTTTTTTTTTAAGTAAGCTGTATGCCCAGTGTGGGACTTGAACTCATGACCCTGTGATCAAGAGTTGCACGTTCTACCAACTGGAGCCAGCCAGGCACCCCTTAGATAGAATACTGCTTTAAAAAAGGGGGTAAAATAATGTGCCACATACAATGATGAAATTCATTTTTATATTTGTCAATTATCCAGCATATGTTATTTTTATTTTGAGTTATTTACTTAATGTAAAATGTACCTAAATGCTCTTGCACTTGTTTCTTTAAAATCTTTGCAAGATGCATTGACATTAATGATGAGAAGTCCTAGCCCATGAGAAACTGTTCCTACATAATTTACAAGATAGAGAAAACAGGAAATATGTCAAAAGGCTGGAGAGCTTTTCCCCTACTATTTTCTTTGAATGTTTATAGATTCTCTAACTCCATTTTATTACATTTCCAAAGTAAACACAGTGTTTAGATAAAATTCTATACATAACCTTCATTGTAGTAATTTTAGTGGGCATGTTCCTTCAGGAAGTTCACATTATGGGACTTGTCCCAACTCACAGGAGCCCCACAACAAGTATTTATTTAATGTTAATTGAATGTGCTTTTTGGAGGTAGTCCAACCCATCTATGGAAGGTCCAGTATTTCTACAGTGAGAAAATGCCTAGCACAGACAGTGCTGGGCCTACTGTAGGTACTCAATGCATATTAGTTAAAAAGAAGAGTGTAACTTCAATATGTTAGGGTACTAGATATTACTGCAACATGTCTGCCTACGGAGTTATCTCAAGTACTTATTTCTTATATTGGTACACTCTCAAAATTAGGTACATTAGTAGGAAAAAAAAAAGCAGAATCCATAAAGAAAGTCTGTTATGGTATATGCAATCTAAACCAGAGATCTTAAATTTATAGTTGGAGAATTATAGAGAAGATAAAATATTGACAGTCGCTCAGGACACTGAGAAATTGCTGGTACCTTGGTGATTTTGTGTTGTAAGAAAGAGTACTAGGGAATTCACAAATGGGCATTATCAGATTCTTGCTTTAATAAAGGATATTTTCAAGGAACCATTTGGTAAGATAGGGAAATAAAAAAAAGCTTGTATGATACTAGGCTGTTAAAATAAAACACTTTCATGATGCCGGGTTATCAGAATATGTACATTTTAAGTAGGTGTATGTGTTTTTCCCCAAGCAACTGCAAAATACATTTCTAAGACACTCAGAATTCTTCTCTTTTGAGATTTATGCTCTCCGAATCTAACATTTGACGTGGTAATTTGTTTTCCTTTTTATTAGTGGAACCCAGTGAGCTCTTTTATTTGTAGCTGTGTTGTGGTTATCTTTGAGATCTTCATTTCTGCCTTAAACATCAAGCTGGGCTATCTAATGAATCTATAACTGTACTGGGAGTTATGAGTATTCCATGTAGGCTTGAACATTTGAACATGCTGTCAGGAAAACAAGCAATGGCAAGAGGCTCTGGCTTGTTTTCACAATAGCATTGCCGTATTCAATTTTAATCTAAATTGACTGCTGCTTTGAAAGAAAATACCCCTAAAGTTCATCTTACTTTACTGTCTAGAGTTGAGATTTAAAAAAAAGAAATTACTAACAGCTTAGCCAACTCCATAGCAATTACTCTGATGAGGTATTTAATACTTTCAAACCAAATATGCCTAAAACTAAAGAGTTTTGCTAAATAAGGAATTGTTTATTCAATCCAGTGTTAGTAGTATAAAAATCAATGGAGTCTTACTGTGAACTGTGGTGTTGTCATACAACTGTCACCATTACTGTAATTATATAACTTCCAGGTATTTCTGGGAGAAAACACAACTCCAAAGGCATGGCGTGGTAAAATTATGAAGTAGGCAAAATGCGCCTTTTTCTCCCAGTCTCTAGTCCTCTGGTTTATCAAAACTTGCTCTCCAATCCTTTTTTCCTAGGAAGGTGTCAGTTGACCAAGAATGGATTAGCATGTCATCCCTCCCAGGGGTATTAGCTTTCATACTTGGACAAAACCAACAATCTTGTTTTTTAGGACAAGATTTAGGGAAGGTATGGGGACTTTCACTGTTTCTTTGAAATTGTCTTAGAAAGATATTATTACTCCAATAGGGCTATTTTTGTTTGCATTACTTTAAAAACATTTCTAATACTTCAATCCCCAATGCAAAAAGGTTAGTTTTCTCCTTTCAATTAAAGAGAGTAAATGTTGAGCACAGTGACTTGATTTTACTGGAAATACTAGTTCAAACTGTGTTACTTTGATGAGTCACTGTTTTAATTACCCATTTGTGGTGAGAGGTTGGTTCATTATGGATTTCTTCAGTTTTGACAGCTTTTTGTTGCTCAGAGTCATTGTCAGCTTTGCCTCAAGTGAAAGTTTATACACAGGTTTGTTTTTGTACCAGCTGTCATATTTTAATTTCATCTTTCCTGCAACAAGCTCACATTTCATCCAAGTTTGCAAAACCTGACTGACTGCAAACATGAGTATTCTGTTGTAATTGAAGGAGTTTCACTTGTTTTAGTGCTGCTATGTTTGAATTCCACAGCACAGCTTGAGGCAAGCCTTGGAACCTTTTATGCTCCAACAAGACCACTCCTGGATACAACCATATTGGAATATAGAGACGAAATCAGCAAATATGCAAGAAGATTCTTCCATCACTTGCTCAGGTGAACAACATCTTGGAATTGATGAGCGTCAGACTACCTATTTAATGAGCATTTTCTTTAATCAGAATATTCCATAATATGGCTGTTTTCTAATAGTCCATTTCCTGGGAAAAAAATGAACCTTCTCTCGATATTCTTGTTTTCCTTTTAAAGGATACATTTGAATATTGTTTAGGGCTTTTACATCATCAGTACATTTGAATATAACTTCCGCTTTAATATGAAAGCAAACAATACTAACTATGTAAAGTCAATTTCTTTTGGGCAAAGTCCGTTTTAAAATATTAACTTAGTTGTGCTCTTAGCACTAGAGAAACGTTTTAGTTTTAAATGAAACTAAAAACATGAATGTGCTGTCAAGCTCTGAGACAGTCATTGGTTTGCTTTTCTTTCAGAATTAGCATTGAAAGATTTGTCCATTGTCTTCTCATATAATGTGGCAAGTTCCTAGTTTCACTGTGCCTCATTTTCTCTGCTTTTTAAATAGGTATCATATATCTCTTTAATCTTAGGGATTATATGAAAAATTATATAATAATATCAAGAAATCACTGAGAAAAACACTATAGAAGTTGAAGGATAAGTACATGAGCATATTCAATTATATATATAAAGTTCAAAAAACGGATGGATGTATGGATGGAAGGAAGGCTGGAAGGTGAATGGATGGATATAGATAAATGATAGCTAGATAGTTTAGGGGTACATATACATGTGTCAATACTATAAATAAAAGCAAGGAAGTGATTAGCACAAAATTTAGGGTAGTATAGGGTGGGTTAAAAGAAATATGATAGGAATAGGCACACGGGAGCCTCTGAGATATTAGTAATGTTCCATTTTTTAATATGAGAGGGATATATATCGGGGTCCATTATAATATCATTCTTTTAATTGAATATATATATTGTATACTTTTATATATGATGTACTTTATAACAGGAAGCAATAGAATTATCAACTTCATGTAACAAAAGGAAGTATCGCATCGAGTTGCATATAGAGTTTTAATTTTACTTATCTGTTATAGTTCTTTTTAACTCTTTTAAGGATTTTCATGTGTAATCTCTCCTTTTTTCTTAACAACCCTGTGAGAGGGTATTCTCATTTGACAAATAAGGTATTTGTTAAGTGGCACTTTGATCTCTACACAACAGTGAAGACTTTGGAAAATAATTTTTTTAGAAGCTGAGAAATGTTAATTTATTACATGAATTATGATCTATGATTGAATCTGGCCTTTTTATCTGAATGACTTTAGCATATTCCAAGAGACTCTTCATTCTGAATAAGGCAGTTTTTTACATATGAATATATGCCAAAAATATTGGGGCTGATGTCACATCTATTTGGACTTAGGGCTTCGTTCTTTGCTCTGCCTATATTTTGTTTTCCTTGTTTCTGGGGAAAACTAATGAATTCACCTCCTGCCTGAAGAGCCCAAAAAGATTAATGTGAATGAGACATCTTTGGAGGCATATTCTTGGTGGCCTCACTATGTTTGGCTTCTTTGACTTTATGCATTGATTTAGTTGAGCATAAGTCTTACATTTTATAATGTTGCTGGTCCTAGGATGCTCATATCCTGCTTATATTCATACAGTGTACTAATGTGCAATGTTTTGTTCATTGAGTTTTCTTCAAATGCAGTATTCTAATTATGTTTTGGAATGTATTTTGATGAGGTGACTATTATTGTTATCATTATTATTAGACACTAGCATTTCTGTGTGGTTATACCTGGAATTGAATATTTTTCCTTGGGATATACTAGGTTTTTCACGTTTTCTTTTTTGCAGGCTTTGCAATTATTTCAGTGATAATGAGTGTTTTTATTAGTTCTTTTGACAGGCTATGTATGTCATGAAAAAAGCAGAGTAAGTTTAGAAGAAATTAAATGAGATACCTTAAATTGGAATTATTCTTTTGTTTAATCTGCTGCCAAGAAGTTTTCCTGCTTAGGGGAGAGGAACAGGCCAAATACTTTTTTGTATTTGCAAAGTGCTAGAATTGAATTACAACCTGTACCTTTTCTAGCCAGTATATTAATACTCTAAAAAAGTTATTAGATAATGGAATATGTCCTAAACAGTAAAGACCATCACAAAGAATTTCAAATTAAAGATGAAAACCAGGAGCACCATGCAGAGTAGGGATGTACCTCCAGTTATTAATTGGTAAAACTGAGGACCGAGATTGCTTGAGTCCAGATTGGGCTCTATTGATAAGGAATAAAATATTACCATGATTTTAATTTCATAGAGCATATAAAGTGTGAAGTCATAGTATGAATTTGTGACAATTGACAATTATCTGTGTGGGTTATTAAAATACTTTTGCATACAATTTTGTTTTTATCTTGACATTAGAGGAAGACCATGGATCTTCTTATCTTTAGCAAGTTAAAAAAATTATCTTGACAGTCTTCTTCCAAATCCAAATGAATCTAAACTTTATTTTTATTTTATTTAATTAATTAATTAATTAATTATTTTTTTTTTTGATTCATGAGAGACACAGAGAGAGAGAGGCAGAGACACAGGCAGAGGGAGGAGCAGGCTCCATGCAGGGAGCCTGATATGGGACTCGATTCCGGGTTGCCAGGATCATGCCCCGGCTGAAGGCGGCACTAAACCGCTGAGCCACCGGGGCTGCCTGAATCTAAACTTTAAAACGAATTTCTCATGTCCTTTTTTGACACTTCTTTTTATGTGTTCAAAGTGGTAAATTTTCATAAAGAAATGTTTCCTGTAAATTTAAATCATTGCTCCTAACATTGAGGATAGAAAGCGGGATTACAATATTGATATGATAGCTAAATAAAATGTTTACTATGATAAAATTTTAAGTAGATAATACAGTCTAATTCATAAAATCATTAAGCTGGAAAAAACTTATCTATTGAAGATGTAGAGAAAAAAATTCACTGTTCTTTCCTTTACTCTCATATTCACACTTCTGACACCAGATAGGCAGGAGCTTTTTTTCTCCCCATATTGACCAGTTCTCTGACACCTACTAGGTGTCCTATAATGCAGTTCAATTCTGACACTAAGAGAGTTAGCATAGCCCCACTTGTAAAGGGATCAGTCCCACAGAAGTGTCCCTACTTCAGCTGCCATTTGCAAGCAGTATGTCCCCATGTTACCCACAACTTCTGTCCAATTTGGCTACCAATTGAGAGTTTGCTGCTACCCCTTCCTCAGGTTCAATAATTTGCTAGCATGGTTCACAGAACTCAGGCGCGCAGTTTATTTACTATTGCTGGTATTTTAAAGGATGTATTAAAGGATACAAGTGAACAGCCAGATGAAGAGATATATAGGGCAAGTTATATGGGAAAGGATGTGAAACCTGATTCCCTTTCCAGGAGTGCCACCCTCTCAGCACCTCTACCTGTTCATCAAGTTTGGAAGCTCTTTCAACTCAGTCCTTTTGGATATTTATGCAGGCTTCATTACATAGGCATGATTGATTAAATAATTGGCCATTGGTAATAATTCAACCTCTGGCCCCTCTTCTCTAGCCCCAGGTTTGGGGGTGGGGCTGAAATTTCTAATCCTCTAATCTTGTGCTTGATTCCAGTGACAATCAGCCCCATCCTACAGGCTTTCACAAAGTCTGTAATATAAACTCAGGTGTGGCTGAAAAGGGCTTGTTACGAATAACAAAAGACTTTCCTTTCAGTTAGGAAATTCCAAGGATTTTAGGAGCTCTGTGCCAGGAATGGGACAAAGGCCAAATATGTATTTCTTATTATAGATCACAGAAGGCAAATGTAACTACCTAGGCTAAGTTCAGAAGTTGGTTGTTCACTTCTCTGTCTTCATAAAATTGAATAGTCCTCCAGAACTATTGAATAGGAAAATATTAACAAGTAAGAGCTTTTCATTATAAATAAATAGAAACTATAATAGGAACTCCTAGATACTGATAAAATAAAAGGGCAGACATTTCAAATGAATGTGCCACATATGAAGCTTATTGTACTCCTTGGAAATATAAAGGATTAAAATTAATTTATTCTACTTATTTCCCCTCTTAACTAGAAGACTACTGTTATCTGATTTAAATGGTATTAGGTGATTATGGCACAGAGTCATGCTTTCGGTTCTTATAAAATAGTAAGCAAAATGTTGAGAGAGCTTTATTGCCTACAAATAAAAATACTATGTGAAATATTTGAGGCGGAATTTATTGAAGTCTGAATTTTCTTTTGCACTGCAACAAAAAGTAAGATTAATTGATAGGTAAAAAGGGAGATGGATGGATATGTGATAAAACAATATTGTAAAATGATAGAATCTAGGTGGTAAATATATTCTTTCAACTTTCTTAGATGTTTGAAATTTTTTATAATAAGGTGTTGGGGGGGAAATATGCATTATATTGGAGTCAATATTTAGAGTTCAGTTATACTTAGTGTTTTGGAAATTATTCTTAGCTTTCAAAATGGTTCTTAGCTTATGCAATAAATATATATGATAGGCAAAAAAATTTTGTGACTAAAACAGTTGCTAACCAATTTGATTTTTAAATGGTTTTCAATTACACTCTTCACTAATGGAGCATACACAGTAAGTAAAACCATTATATGAAATCAATTCAAAGAATATGAATTCTAAAACAGTAACCTCAGAATACTTAGGGAACAAGATAAATGATTTGAAGAGAAAAACTTCCTGGTCAGATCATCTAAAATGCTGGATAGTATATCTAAAATATTTGCTTAAAGCAAGGTTGAGCTGGCAGGAAAGGAAGGGAAACGCTCAGAGGTTAAAATGACAAGGATGCTAGATTCCACAAGAGTAAGCAAACTCAAAGTTTCCCTTGAGGGCATGTGCTGGCACCTGGCAGTGAGGAACTTGGTTTACAAAGGCTGTATATTCAGAGTGTAGGAGACAAAGCCTAGGGCTCAAAGCAGAGTGGGAGATTGGATCTGAGATTCCCCACATCAATCTAGTACCATTGAAGAGGTAACACCTTCTCTGAACTATAAG